CGCGCGCGCGCGCGCGCGCGTCGTGTGTGTGTGTGTGTGTGTGTGTGTGTGTGTGTGTGTGTGTGTGTGTGTAGCACGTACTACGAGCACGCGATGCAAGAGGTTGCAACACGCGGAACTGCGTGAAGCGTCTCGTGGGAGTGAGCCTTTCGGTGAGCCTTAGCCAGAAGCCAGAACCTGACTCAATTGCAGACTGCCTGATTGTTTGCGATTGAGAGGATGAGATGAATAGATAGACGAGTCCATCATATGAATAACGCTTTCGCTTCTTCATTAGCGGATAGATCAGTAAAACTCAATATTGTCATCTTCCAGATGCGTTAAATCGTCCAAATGATCCTTACGCGATCTTTCGATCCAACGAAAGTCCACGTCGTACGATCGTAGACATCTCCTCGTATCCCAATAGACGTGACTCGTTCCGTGCATAAATGTAACGTACCGAGCAGGAGGACGTGCTGCCGTGGTGATTGTCGCCTTTCACTCGCCTTCACGAAACGATCTCTCGCTTACGTCGCATACATTTACTGATATCGGGAAGTCAATGGACCAAGTCCTCTTGATTTCTATTGATCGTATACACTTTCTTTTCTATCCTTTAATTTTTTTCTGGACCAACGGATCCGGGATTAACGCGTGATGACTTGGAATTACGAATTATAAATTATAAATTATACAAAAGGAAATCGGAGACTATACAATCAATGTCCATATTATACAATCGATATTGAATACGGAAGGAATATCGTTCCTCAATCTCCTCGGTGCTCGGTCGATATGCTTTAGATTCATAAAGATCTCTGAAGAACATGCGTTTCTCGTGTCTTCTCTCTTAAATCACGATCGATCATGATTTTCTCGTTCACGCAACCTATTCGATCGCGAAACGATCCTTTCTTTGCGAGCTTTGTTCGTCTTATTTTCGAGTCTTATTTTGAAACATTAGTTAGATATTTAAATGTGGACAATTTTTCGAACTGTAGACATCTCGTTATCCGGCGGATTGGTTGGAGGGGCTGGAACGCGAATGATACAAGGTACTTGATATTATGAACATTAGAAATGTTAAATCGCACGTTGGTGCGAGCTTTTCGCCTGTGGCATGCTTTTCAACGTCTCTCAATTCTCAAATATTCTTTTAAATTTAAATTCTTAGCTTTACGATATTCCGAGAAATATCAAACTTTTTGGCTCAGCTATCAAACTTTTACTTCAGCTCAAAGATTTTCCTTTTGAACGCGTAAATGAGGAACAGAATAAGTCGCGTTATTCGCTTCTCGTGACCACGTCCAAGTGACTAGCGTTACTTAGCGGTATATCATTGTTTACAACGAGGGAACACGAGGACTCTTGTTCGGTTATTTTCACTCGTCACAGATTCCTACTGACCGTGTTCGAAGAGAACGACGAGGAAAGCGGTAAATGTAATGGATTAAATCGCGCGCGAAAGATTGCCACACATTGCGCCGGTTCGACGCAACTTCATTGAATTTGCTTGATTTCGTCATTCGGCTATTCGATTAATCGACGCGCATTGACAAGCAAATCTCCAGCACTTTTTACTCGCGGGAGATTGTTCGCTATCGACAATCGATGATTGACGAAATATGAAAGTTATTTATAAATTACGAATTATACAAAAAGATCATCAGTTATTTAAAATGAGCGAAAGATGCTGTGTAAGATTCTAGCGTAACGTCGCGCGTTTAATTAGATGAAATTTGTCAAAATATCGCATGTATGTACATCGCATAACATCGTATTACACACCACTCACACCCACACACACACACACACAGAGTGATAATGATAATAATCACCAATAATAATGCACAGATAGTTTCAAGGTAAATGATTAAAAAAGGGCAGATTACGCATAAACCTACCCGTGTGACGATGACCATCTCTTAAGTCGTGGTTGTCGGCACTCCGCCTAGAAACAAAACCAAAAAAAAAGATAAAATATGTCGGATCAAGTCATACGTGGACATACTCCCTCTATGAGTATCCCTTCATATATACAATAATTTTGTTTAATAATAGATTACGTAGACTCGGACTGTGAATTTGGGAATGAGATGTAAGAAAAAACACTCACAAGTCTATAAGAATTACTGTTAAGCATATTTGAACTCAGTCCCGAGAATCTGAGGGAACGACGCGTGCCTCTGCATCTATTTGGAAGAAACGCATCCCGGCACGCATGCCGGTGCGATCTGGTCGATCACCGTTACCGTGGAAGCATCGCAAACCTGTTCGCAAAAGTGGGTTAGGCAGTTTGCGTTGCTGTGCCATACGGTTCCGTCGAGATTCAACGAGAATTTTTCCTCCCCCCTCTCCTCCTGTTCTTTCTCTCTCCAGTCTATCAGGGGTCAACCATCAATTCCAATATCATCACACATTATCGTGTGGGTCGTCGAGCCATTATTCATTCGAAAAAAATCAAGTGGAAAAGGTGTCTTAGTACGGCGCAGATGATTTTATAAATCTCTTTGCGATGATAAACGCGCGATGTATAAACAATATTGTTTTATTTGCGGTACAAATCATATGTTAAGACGTAAATCGTAAATTTTAAAATAAAAAAATTCCACATTTAATTTAAATTTCTTATACATTCACACGCGTTTGAATCGCGCGAGGAGGAGACTTGGAGAAAATATTTAGATTTAGATTTTTTTCTGCAATGTATGATAATAGCTCTTACCGATATGACGTCTTGTATCAGGCAATCACCGATTTTTCGGATTTAAACAGATCAATCGAACGCATCAATTTGCGTTTGATAAAAAAAAACTGATGCATTCACGATACATTTAGGAGAAGAAATAGATAAAGAAGATATTATAAATTATTTGAGCGAATAATAACACATTTTGTGCATTATCATCGAGACGAAATCAAATCTTTTATAAAATAGTATAGAAATACCAATAGTTTAAATCAAAATCATATCTCTCTCTCTCTC